AAGCAACCAGCAGATCTTCTCAAATTTAAAGTGTTGACAGCTATATGAAGTACCTTATTGCATTTAAAATGTATTGGAGAAGACGCATGTGTTTATTGTTTTTAGTTAAAGAACAGAATCCATAATGTTAAAAACAAAACACATCTATTATATTTAGAACAATATTTTTATAGCAGATTTCCAAGAATGATTTACACTGCTCAAAAAAATTAAAGGAACAATTTTTAATCAGAGTATAGCATCAAGTCAATTAGACTCCTGGGATATTGATCTGGTCAGTTAAGTAGCAGAGGGGGTTAATAATCAGTTTCAGCTGTTTTGGTGTTAATGAAATTAATAACAAGTGCACTAGATGGGCAACAATGAGACGACCGCTAAAACAGGAATGGTTTTACAGGTGAAGGCCACTGACATTTTTTTCCCTACTCATCTTTTCTGACTTTTTTTCACTAGTTTTGCATTTGGCTAGGGTCAGTGTTGATAGAGAGCTGGACAGGGCCGTAGAAGGTCCTTGACCCAATAGCAGGACCGCTATCTGCTCCTTTGTGCAAGAAAGAACTGAATTAGCACTGCCAGAACCCTACATAATGATCTCCAGCAGGCCACTGGTGTGAATGTCTCTAACAAAACAATCAGAAACAGACTTCACGAGGGTGGACTGAGGATCCGACATCCTCTAATGGGCCCTTTTCTCACTGCCCAGCACCACAGAGCTCAATTGGCATTTGCCATTGAACACCAGAATTAGCAGGTCCGCCACTGGCGCCCTGTGCTTTTCACACGAGAGCAGGTTCAACCTGAGCACATGTGACAGACATGTAAGGGTCTGGGGAAACCATGGAGAATGTTATGCTGCCTATAACATCATTCAGAATGACCGTTTTGGTGGAGGGTCAGAGATGGTCTGGAGAGGCATATCCATGGAGAGACACACAGACCTCTACAGGCTAGACAATGGCACCCTGACCTCCATTAGGTATCGGGATGAAATCCTTGGACCCATTGTCAGACCCTACACTGGTGCAATTCCCAGTTTCATGTGGTGATAGTATGCAGGCAGTTCCTGGAGCATGAAGGAATTGATACCTTTGAATGGCCCGCACACTCTCCTTACCTAAATCCAATAGAACACCTATTGTGTTCAGTGATGCCCTGGTCCAGATCTGGGAGGAAATACTCCAGGACACCATCCATCATCTCATTAGGAGCATGCCCCAATGTTGCCAGGCATGCATACAAGCATGTGGGGGCCATACAAAACTACTGAGTTGCTGCAATAAAATTCCAGCAAAATGGATTAGCCTGCTGCATCATTTTTTCACTTTGATTTTATGGGGTGTCTTTGAATTCAGTCCTCTGTAGGTTGATTATTTTCATTTCCATCAAATGATGGGGCATCCTTACATTCCTAACACATTAGCCAGTCCATATCAGTATAGATATCCAGCATGATATTTTTCCCCATTGAGATCTGAATTTTTTGAGCAGTGTATATCAATGCTTACAGATGATAAGCACCAATGGAGCTGCTATATTAATTGATTATGTAAAGCATATATGTGTACTGCAGACTAGATTCCGTGACTTATTTGTGATAGCCCTATCAGTTTGACATCAATTTTCCAAAAAAAGAAGTGGTAATAAGTAAACAAGACGAAGCCAAAAAGAAGTCTGTTCTTTTCACTGAAAAAAGATTTCATTATATCCATCATCAAATAAAATTAATTAAAATTATAATCTCAACATGAATATGAAATGATTCTACAGTGAAAGATTTGTAGGCAGAGACATGCTGAATTTTTGTCTCTGTGGCTTGCTGTATACGTAGAAGTCTGTGTTCATAAAATAGGCAGACAAACTGTTGCAACAATTCATTGGTTTGGTTTCACCAGTTTACCAGAAGAAAAAGGAATTAATTTGCAGTTGTGACATACAGTCCTTAGATAAATAATACAGCCTTATTTTGATTTAAAGTACTTGATATGTATAGTGTTAGCATTACTGTATATTGTATATTATATCTCCATAGACCATAATTATTTGACTCAGTAGAGCCTAATCTTTTACTTAGTTTCATAGGTAGATTCAACAAAAAGACAAAATAAAATAAAGCCCTGTATTTTCAGAATATTAAATCCACAATTGATCCAGGGAAGGCAAAAAAAACCCTTGTGAGGAAAGGTCCCATTTTCTCCAATAGGGAAAAAAACCTTTCTGATCCCCTAAGGAAAATAGATAATCCCTGTTAGAGTTACTCCTTATAATTCTTAATAGCCAGTTATAGTTTGTGTATTTAGAAACACATCTAGTCTGTTTGAAGCAATCTTCAAAGTTGGCTTGAACTAGCTCCAGCGGAAATTTATTTCACATTTCCAAAGTTCATGTAAACTAACCTTTCTGTATGTAGAGGTTAATCCTCTCTTTTTCCTAGGTACAAAAAGACCCTCTTTTTTTAATGACTTACAGTGAAAAACTCAGCACCGTGTTTACAATATATACAATTTACATATTTTTACAAAGTGATCATAACCAGATAAACCTCTCTTCTGAAAGGAGAATAAATTCAGTTCAGTTAACATTTTTCCGATTGCTCGGGACCTCCATGTGTTTTATTAATTTAGTTGGCCTTCTCTACAGTTTCTCTTGTTCTGCAACATAATTTTTGTGAACAGGTGACCCATGCCAAGCTTCCTATTCATAGGAGATCTTACTAATGCTATGTGCAAGGCTTAAATTATTCCTATCTCTATTGAATCTATAGGGCTGATTTACTAAAGGCAAAGAGACTGTTAATTTTATTATTATATTATTATTATTATTACTATTATTACTACTACTATAATACAGGATTTATATAGCGCCAGCAGTTTGCGCAGCGCTTTACAAAATGAAGGTAGACATTACAGTTCCAATACAATTTGGTAAGAGAGGAAACAGAGGGCCCTGCTCGTTAGAGCTTACAATCTAGGAGGAAGGGTTGAGTGATGCAAAAGGTAATAGCTGTGGGGGGGATGAGCTGATGGAGGAAATAAATGGTGGTTTATTAGGTAGAAGCAGGATAGACTTCTTTAAAGAGAAAGGTTTTCAGGGATCGTCTAAAGGTGGATAGATTAGGAGACAGCCGGACAGATTGGGGTAGAGAGTTCCATAGGATGGGAGAAGCTCGTGAGAAGTCCTGGAGGTGAGCATGGGAGGAGGTGACATGGGAACTATAGAGCATAAGGTCTTGGGAGGATCGAATAGAGCAGTTTGGTTGATATTTTGAGACCAGGTTGGTGATGTAGCTGGGGGTAGAGTTGTGGATGGCTTTGTAAGTTGTTGTTAGTATTTTGAATTTTATTCGTTGAGCGAGTGGAAGCCAGTGGAGGGATTGGCAGAGAGGGGCAGCAGACACTGAACGGTTGGTAAGGTGGATGAGCCTGGCAGCAGTATTCCTGATGGACTGGAGGGGAGATAGCCTATGTAAAGGTAAGCCAATGAGGTTGCAGTAATTGGGTTGAGAGATTACCAGGGAATGAATTAGGAGCTTTGTGGTATCATTGGTTAAAAAGGAGCGTATTCTGGAGATGTTGCGGAGGTTGAGGTGGCATGATTTGGACAGGGATTGGATGTGGGCCTGAAAGGATAGTTCAAAATACAGGGTTACACCTAGCACCTTAGCATGCAATGATAGGTTGATAGTGGTGCTATTGATCCTGACTGAGAAATCAGGGGAAGAGGCACGTGGGGGAAGAAATATTATAAGCTCGGTTTTGGATAGATTGAGTTTTAGGAAGTGGAGTGACATCCAGTCTGATATGTCTGTTAGTAAATCAGTAATACGTGTGGAAACTGATGGGTGAGCTGAGGAGTAGAGAGATAGATTTGTGTGTCATCAGCATAGAAATGGTATTGGAAACCATGCAAAGCTATCAGCTGACTGAAGGAAGAAGTGTAGATTGAGAATAGGAAAGGTCCAAGGACAGAACCTTGGGGGACCCCGACAGTAAGAGGAGTAGAAGAGAAAGAAGAAGAGTTGTAAGTGACACTGAAGGTGCGGTGAGATAGGTAAGATTCAAAGCAATGGAGAGTATAGTCACGGAGACCAAGTAAATAGTTTTTTGAGGAGTAGGGGGTGGTCAACTGTGTCAAAGGCAGTGGAGAGGTCCAAGAGCTAGAGTACGGAATAGTGACCATTGGTTTTAGCAGCTAGTAAGTAATTTTGCAAGGGAATTTTCCCCAGAACTTAGTGAAAGAGGTGAAGCTTTGTTGACTTTCATCATCATCCAATGAAGTGCAAGCAAAAATGTTGAATTGCCTCTATGATTAGGCCACAAAAATGGCAAAACATGTCTGAGCAGTTCTCAGACTCGGTTCATGGGTAGCCAGGTAACTAAAGGGCACTCAGACTAGTGGGATCCAGGGACAGCAAAGCTTAGGAAAGCTATGGTTCCCAGAATTTAAGAAATTTTGGTTGCGAATCTTTAAACTCCCTAGCGGTCTGATTATGTCCATATTTCTGTGCTCAAAGCGGTACATTTTTTTGCATGGAAAAAGGAAAATGAAAATGCATTTTTTTTATTGTAGGCCTGTAATTTTTAGGAATAACTCACTGAAATCTGTCCGAACAAGAGTCTAGTGAACATCCCGGGTACGTTAAAATTTGAAACATGAAATCATAAAATTATAATTTAATAATCATAAAAAATAATATAATAATAAATTTAATTCAATAATATAATCAAACCAAAAACACTGAAATTTGAAATATAGGGCCAAGTTCGCACATCACTAAGCAAAGTCGCAGAATCGTTTTCAGTGTCTGATGACGAATTTCCCCACAAATAATTATCACTCAATTCTGCAAGTGGTTCTGATTTACTATCGCTGTTCCCTAGCTGGTCTAAAACCGATTTTGACCTAAAGGGACGCTTTTTGGACACCATGGACGTTTCTCAGTTTCCAGGCAGAAAGAACGGTAAAAATGCAGGCAAGGCACAGGACAAAGCACTAGGGACAAAATGTATGTGAAATGGTTTGATACAGTAATGTTTTACTATGTTATTTTAGTGAATTTAGTGAATGTCACTTTGTCATTTTCAAATTTGACACCAGTTCCATCCCCGTACGTCCTGACACTCGCAGGGGACGGAACCCAGATGACAGATGTCGGCATCCGCCGGAGGACATTACAGGGGACACTGCAGGAGGGACATCGTGGGAGCGCAGGACAAGGTAAGTGATCGAGGGGGTCCCGGAGCAGCGCCACATGGTAAGCCTGAGTGTAGCTCGGGGTTACCACTTGTGGTACTGAAACTTTACCCCGAGCTACACTCGGGAATACCGCCAGGGAGGCTATGGACACAAGACATTTTCTCTTTATTTTTTTTTGTTTACAAACTGTTTATTGGAAAGTATATAAATCCAATACAAAGCCATCATGATGGCACAAACACAAAGGCATGATAATAAAATGTGTACATAAAACAGGAGGAAAAACAGAGAAGCACAATGAGAGAAACAATATCATGATATAACAGGAGGTAGTATCAGGGAATCAGCCATCATCATAGGTAGAGGAACCACAGAACCTCACAAATAGCAATCATAAATACAAAATGCATGTATAAGGGATAAACCTGAGATCATGTCAAAAAGGTCTGACGCTGAATAATCCAAACCTCCCATTTACCGGAAAACTTTTGCATTTTATCTTGTAAAGTATAAAGGATCCTTTCCATCAGAATCACAGTATCAATCCTTTCCATTACCAAAGACAGTGAAAAATGAAGATTTCCATTCCATAGCAATGGCCCACATTGTTGCCACACAAATCGTATGGATGAGTCTCTGCTTCTTAAGGAAAATCCCTGGGATTGAAGCACCAAAAAAGCATATGGGCATCATTATATTAAGTGAATGACCTATAGCAGAGGCTATAGTAAAAATTGTGCATCCTTACTGAAGTCAGTTTCTCAGAGTCATAGAATATATATGTTTTCGAGATCCACTAAATGGGCATCCGCACAATCATAACTCTAATACCCCTGGATAATAAGCATAATGTTTACAGGGTGTATAATACCATTCTTCGGCAGAGAATTGAGTGGTGCAGTCATTCTCCCATTTAGCCATTTAAGGAAGGAAGTCAGAAAAGAGGGTACCAAGAACAACCTGATAAAGGCCCAAGATCAACCATTTTTCTCTAAGGGAATCACAACAAAGTCTTTCAAACATCGTAATTGGTGAGGTACGGGATAGACCATATAGTCAGGCATAAAAATGCCTAATTTGTAAATAGTGATATAATTTACAGCTCAGGGCATTTTTGTTTGTATGTAAGTAATCGAAAAAGACAAGTGCTGGAAAGGAAAGGGTGATAAAGTTATTAGCATGCTACCAAGAGAAAATGTCTGGTGAAGAGATAGCAAAAATAAATGCTGGATCACCAAAAAAGGAAGTTCTAGGTAAGATGGGAGATGCTAGGCCAAATTTTGATTTGTTGAAGGACCATAAATGCTGTGATTTGGAAACCAAGGTGTTAAGAGAGACTAACTTATGGCTTGTTATGAATGAGGACCACAAAACACCTGGGAGGCAGTATGGCCTTATAAAGCCCACTTCAAATCTAGTCCATGGGACTTTAGAATTAACAATATTCCACTGGGCTAATTGGGAGAATCTGGAAACTAAATAATACAACAAAAAATTAGGCAAACCTAGGCCTCCTGCAGACTGTCATTTCTAACGAATATGCCTTGAAAATCTGGAGCAATTATCTTGCCAGAGAAACTTATTTATATTTCACTGGAACTAGTCAATAAAAGATTTTGGGATGGAAAAAGGAAGAGCTCTAAAGAGCTATAATATTTTGGGTAAAATATTCATCTTAATAGCCATGACTCTGCCCAGAAAAGAAATCTGGTATGCACACCAAACCTTAAGCATATAACGAAGCTGGAACACACAGGGAAGATAATTGGCTGCAAGAGAGAAGAGATCTCGGGAATAAGATGCAGGCCCAGATAGGGAGTTTGATCGTACAATCAAAGAAATGAAAGTGATACTCAATGGGTTTCACACTGAGCAGAAGGTATAGTAATAGGTCTGACTGTGGATTTGGTGACATTAGTAGACTATCCTGATAAGGCTGCAAACTTATTTAGGACTGTAAACAGATGAGGTAAAGATACATGTGGCTGTGCTAAAAAGAGCATAACATTATCGGCATATATATATAGATTGAAGTAAGAGACACCGTTAGAATAACCTATAATATCAGGATGTCTTTTAATGGCAATGGTCAAGGGTTTCATCACCAGAGCGAGCAATAAAGGGGAGAGGGGACAACCCCGGCAAGTACCCCTGCCCAATGTGAAAAACCCATAGTTACACCCTGGAAATCTCATTCTAGTTTGAGGAAATGGGTATAATGCTGGTACACCATGGATAAACTCATCCTGAAAACCCATACGCTGCAACAGGGAGCAAAGATAAGGCCAAAGGACACTATCAGAGGCCTTACTGATGTCAAGGCTTAGTAAAAAAGACTTGTTTAGAATGTATATTAGCATCTTGAATGATGTTCGTGGTCAATCTAATATTGTCAATAATGAGTTGCTTCATAATAAAGCCAAACTGGTTCTAGCAGCATAATGTTTATAGTAGAAAGTGGAATAGCCATCAGGGCCAGGTGCTGTAGAGCATTTTAGAGATTTGATGATGCAAAGGATTTCTTCTTCAGAGCCAAGAGAATTAAGGGGATTTAACTGAACTAGAGTAAAGAGAGGGGAGAGGAATGGATGAGAACCAGGACAGGGACTCCTGCAGTGATGAAGAAGGAGGAACCAGCAAGGTTGAATAAAATGTTTCAAATATACTCAAGACCTCTTTGGGTAAGGATTCTACAGTACAGCTTGAAGTTTATAGACATTGTGGGGTGTACCGTATGATTCAATTTACAGGCAAACATAGAAAAGGTGGAAACTCTATACAGGAGAAAATATATAGATCTCTACTCAAAAGCTTCAGGAAAAAAAAAGTTAATCAGAATAACAGAATCATAATGCAATACAGTTGTTCAAATAATCAAAAAATCGGTATTATCAATCAAAGGGTTAGGTTGCCAAAAGCGAAAACCTTCAAAAATGGAAATAACAAACATTGCCATTAAGCCCCAGACTCCATCTTAAGTGTCCAGGGACAGATATGGAGTGAGATAGCAATACAACAGCTTCCACAGACCAAGCCTACAAACATAAAGATAAATTAATAACGTTGTGAATGCCAAAAGGTGCATTAAACCCTCCAGAACATTTAGACAAAATATACCAAAATGGTATTACTCAGTTACATATAAGGAGCAAAGGATGTTATAAAAATAGAAGCGACATCAGAAAAATAAGAAAAGAAAAAAGAAAAACAAGACTTATGGGTGCCAGATGGTGCCAATGACCATCAAAAATGTATATCAGCAGCCTGTATGCAAGTATAAGATATGAAGGACCTCCAGTGGATCACACCCGTAATAGTACTATGACTATAAATAAAAAAAAGTTTCAGAAAAAAAGGGGGGAAGTGTTCCTGAGTATATATAAAACCAAGAGTTTCAGCAGATCAATGGGGAGAAAAAAAGTTTTCTGTTTCAATCATTTTTTCCTGCAAATTTTTACAAAAAAGAGGAGGAACAAGACATAACAAGTGTATAGATGCTTTGATTGTATCATCCACAAAAAGTTGCAGCAATAATTGTCGCTCCAAGAATACAGAATAAAGATTATTCAACTGTACGTGTCTGGTCGGCAACGTATATGCAGCCATTGTGCGGTGGCATTTGAAAAAGTAGAGCGAATGGTCGAGCCAATCCCTCTGAGTCTTGCAAGCTCAGTGGCCCTCCAGGGTCCCTCTGGGTCAGACCAGGACAATATAATCTTTAGCCTTTGGCCCACAGAGGCCAAGGCATCATCCACATCAGACATAGACACAAAGTACAATAACACCATAACACAATGTCATAGTTGGCAATTAACAATAGGTGTCTAGGTGTTAAGACAGGACCAGCATAAGGGGGGCAAAGAAAAGAGGGGAAAGAGAGAGAGAATGAAATCAGAATTAAGAGAGGAAGAGAAGAACCAATCCATCCAAGAGTCCAGCCCACCCCAACCCAAGAGTCAGTCCCGACCTCCCAGGACTTGTAAGTAAGTGAGCCATGGAGTCCATATTTTGTCAAATAGGGGTTGTTTGTCCCATAGTACACTCACCAATTTTTCGTTAAGCATAATCCAAGCAGGGGCGGACTGACCATTTGGAAACTCGAGCACTGCCCGAGGGCCCGGGGTCAGTAGGGGGCCCCATGAGATGCCCCTGGTACCTTTTTCATAGGCTTTTTTGAGTTTGGGCAAGGACACAGGGGCCCCATGATCCCCTATTGCCCGGGGGCCCCATGAGCTGTCAGTCCGCCCCTGAATCCAACTGAGCTTAGGCTTCATCAATGCAATATCAATCACTGGGCTTTTCCAAGCTGTGGCGATGGCAATTTTTGCAGTCAAGAACATAAAGTAAATTAAAGTTTGAGTGTGTTTGGGGATGCTGTCAACCAGCTTATTTAACAAAGCGATACAAGCATCTTTGGTTATATTGACCATGGAGACAGAGAATATGAGGGAATGCTTCCTCATCCAATAGCGAAGGACTTTGGGGCAGGTCCACCATATATGTAAGACCGTGCCTGTCTTTTCACAGCCCCTAAAACATAAGGCCAACGCTCCTGGGAACATACGAGACAGGCGGTCTGGAACCAGGTACCATCTTGCATATACCTTCTATCAGAGCAACATTTAATATGCCTCTGTGAACACAAGAGTTCCAGGACCGCCAATCCTCCTCATCAATAGACACACCCAGGTCTCTTTCCCAGGTGACTTGATAAGAAAGTTTGGCTGGCAGGGTGTTGAAATATTTGTACAGTATAGAGATGCAGCCCCTCAATTGAGTTCCCTTCATACATCTATTTTCAAACATAGTGCGTACAGTCAGATCAGGACAGATTTTCTATAAGGTATGCAAGAACTGGTAGATTTGCTGCAAATGGAAATTTTCCAAAGGAGGCATCTCCAGACCGTGCAGGAAATACGAGATCAGGCTGGTCCCCTTCTGTAATAACTTTTAATCTCCTAAAAATTGATTATATAAACCCATTTGAGGTACTAACTCATTGGGATTAATGTATTACAGCAGTACTGTACATTACTCTACAAAATGGACTTTCACTTTGGAAGAGAATTTTCACTCAGTTTAGTAATAGTGGTGAAAATACACTTTACAAATAAATACGCAAACACAAGAAAAATGTTAAAATGTG